GCTCTTGCTGCAATCTGCTTCACGTGTGCTGCATTTTCTCATCTGCTGAGGCAGAAATAAAGGAGGTAAGAAGGAAAAAGTTGGCCATCGGGTGGAAGCCAGAGGCGCAACGGGACAGGAGAGGCACCTGTGACACAGGAACCGGGCTGTGAAACCAGTGCCAAAGAATGGACCAGCCACGGGGGAGCTGAGAGCAGGAGCGGCTGATGATCACCGAGCTCCCCGAGCGCCTGACTACCCACCTCTTATCTGACATCAACGGACAAGGCACCCACAGCGGCTGGGGACACCCCAACTGCTTTTCAGGGTGAAATGACCACCAGAAGTTCTCTGGTTATCCTCCAAGAGTCTGCAGTCATCCCAGGAGAGTTCACACTAAGGACAGGGCAAGAGATCCACAAAGGGCACGGGAGGATGGACGGTGGCACGTCGTTCCCCAGGAGCAAAGCCTCACTCTGTACTGATTTGCCACTGATGTGGCACAGACTGCAGGACTTCAGGGAAAGGGCAAGAGAGCCGCAGAGCCACCCTCTTGTCTCTGCGCTTCCAGGGAAAACCCAGCGAGAAGTCACTGGGACAGAGCTGTGATTATGGCGCTGAAGGTCTGCACCGGTGAGCCTGGTGTGCTGCCGGCAGAGCCAGGAGCATGCCTGGGGCAGGAGATCACTGGTGGAGAAGGGGAGGGAGGTGAGGGCTCAGATGCGCCGTGCAGCCAACACTTGGGGCCAATGTGTTTGCAAAAAGACGTACGGCCAGGATGCGTATCCTTGTAGTTTGCAAACTGCTAGCAGGAGTGTGGGTAACGAGCAAGGGGAACCGGGAACTCCTGCTGCCGAAACTCAGTTAAGCTGGCAAAGCTTTGCGGGGAGATGGGTGGGAGGGAGGCGTCAGACAGCCCAGCCAGCCGCAGGGGCAGCCCACGGGGAAGGGCCCACCGCACAACCTGCCCACCGCAGGAACTCGCCTTTGTCTGCCACCCTGTGCCGACGCTGTCCTGACAACGCAAGGGCCAGCTCCAAGGCCGAGGGAGAGCCGTGGGCAATGGCTTATGGCTTTGGACACCATCTCCCACCATCGCAGGCAAGCAAACAATGGACAGGCAATGCCAGGGGATGTGGGGTGGTCTGAACGTGCCCGGCTCCAAGGGCTGAGAGCATGGCCCAGAGCCCGGCCGGAGTCCCGGCACTGGCAGAGTGCCCTGGGTCGGTACTGGATCTCAGGCTACCGAACCCCTTTGGCACTGCCTGAGGTGCCAAGGTAGCGTGTGCCCCAGCGGGGCTGCGGAGAATGCAGAGCTGGGGCGATGCTCCAGAGGGTCCCCGCTGCCGTGGGGAGGGACTCACCATGCTGGAGAAGGGGCAGGCAGGGATCCCCAAGCTCCCATGGGGAAAGGCAAAGCCCTGCAGTGGGGAGGAATAACCCCGGGGCCAGACGAGGGAGAGTGGCTCCGCAGAGACAGACCTGGGGGTTCCGGCGTGCGCCGAGTTTTGTAAACTGACCCCAAGGACACCAAGAGGGGTCTCCCCTTCTTCCAGTTTCTCTGTCTGCCATCTTACTGTGTTCTTTATTCCAAGCTTTCAGCTTTCTCCAGCCTCAGTATTCTCAAGGCGGTAAAAAAGCTAATGGCTTTTAAGATACGGGATGAATACCGGCACACAGCTCCTGGTTACTCTGTGCATCTCCGCTGCACCATGCAACCTATGCCCAGCAGTGATCAGAAAAAAACCCCCAAACCTCTCAAGAGAAACATCCGTTAAGTATTGCTCCTATTCCCAGAAAGTCCTGGAGCCCTGCAGATTTCTGGAGGGCGTTGGGGAATAACCTCCTGCTACAGGTATATGGGTGCTGGGTGGGCCACCCAGGGGTGAGGCATGGCTGGGTCACAGACAAGGAGGAGCTCCTTGGCTGGGGATGTGATAATAAACGTCAGCCTTGTCTGTAGTGACCGTGAAATAGCGGAGTTCACGATCCCGAGGGGAGGGGAGCAGCAGAGCACAGACCCTGGGCCGCGGAGGAGCAACCTCAGCTCATTCAGGGCCCCAGCAAGGGGGATCCCACTGGAGACAGCTGCGAAGGACAAAGGAGTTTAGGAAAGGTGGCGAGCTTTTGGGGACAGCATCCTCCGACTGCGGGAACGGCCCATCCCAGCACTCGGAGAGAGGCACAGACATACAGGGACATACAGGGAGACCGGCTGGCAGGGGACTTGGGAGGGAGCCCCACGGCAGAAAGCAGCGGGGAGGGGGTTGGGAGGGTCATTCTGTCTGGAGATGGGGCTCCAGGAGGAAAACCACCAGAAATGGAGGACAATCACATCAGGGATCTTCTGAGAAACACAACCCATGTGAGCCCACTGGCCCTGAGGGCCAGCACCCAAGGGTGCCGAGGTCCCTGTGCAGCTCTTCTTGGCCGCCTCCAGAAGGGGACGGGGAGTCAGGGGGTTGGGTCCTCAACCAGTGGAGAAAGGCAAATGTCGCAGCTGCTGTTAACAGAGACCATCCAGGAAGCCTCACCTTGGTCCCCGGGATAGCACCGAGCGAGCCCTCCCGGAGCACGTTTCGGGAGGCGTGAAGGAGAAGAGGGTGACCTGGAGCTGTCAGCTGGGATCACTCGCATCTCTCCGACCGCTCAGAGACAATTCAGCTTGCCAGTTCATCAGAAAACCCGAGAGCCTCCCTCCCGCTCTGTCTGATGTGCCCACACAGTACTGCACGGTGCGGGCACCGAGAGTGCTCCCGACGCCAACAGAATGCCTGCCACCTCTCAGAACATCCCTGTTGGATTACCCGTGGGCTGTTGCCTGCCAGCCACGGCAAACGGCCACAGAGCAAGCTACATCAGTAACCTGAGCCCGAAACTCATGTATTTGTGACGGCAGGGTGGGTTTGAGCTGGGTCAGCACACGCCATGGCCCACCGTGTGGCCAGGCACAGGGAAGCAGCAGAGCGCACAGCAAGCGCTGAGGAAACGGGGGAAAGAAAGGAGCGAGGGGGAAACCGTCTCTGCTGGCAGCCTGGTCCTGCGCCAGCTTAGGCCAACAACGAAACCGCAGCCGCGGAGAGCAGCTGTGCACAGGAGAAGGGGTGCAGGGGTTTCTGGAGGAAGCCCAGGGCTGGGGTGAAGCCTGGCACTACCTCCATGTTTCCTCACGCCACAGATTCCCAGGGAACACAGCATTAATGCTAAAGAAGCATTACACGCTTCTTGTACTCTTCCCTCAGCATCTGCGACCGGCCATTGCCGGGGCCAAAAGAGGATAAGACAGGCTGTCGGTCTTTTGTACGTTCCCTGCAACCACAACAGAAATACGCCAAAACGATCCCGTCCGTTGTTGGAGAGCGGCACATGGCTGCTACGGATCACACGAATATCCTCAACTCACAGCATCACGGACCGGTTGAGGCTGGAATCTTGCACGGCAATCTTGCATGCGAGGTCTGGGGAAGCTGAGCCCCTTACAACTAAACAGGTTTTAATTACAGCTCAGTACAAACATAAACATCTGGGAAAGAGGAGAATTCCTTCTGTAAAGCCATTCAAGAGCAGCTCTACAACAGTGAGGACAAGAACCCAGAGCAGCTGCGGGAGGGATGTGAAGGGACAGGAGGTATGAGAGGAAGAGGAGTCAGGCTGCAAAGGAGGACACCGCTGCCTACAGCTCAGGAACGTGGCAGTACCTGGCACGGCCGGGTCCTGGCCTCTGCCTGACCCACCCCCCCCGTGGGCCAGCCCCACCCCCGCCGCAGAGCTGTGCGGGACACAGCTGCCCCCACAGAAGAAGTTTCAGCTTCCCTTAGCACCCAGCAAGACCATCCCCCTTCCAGGACAGAGCAGAGCTGGGCCAGATCAGCTGGCACGGACATTTAGCTGGTGAGCGGAGCTTTGCCTACCTGTGGATGATCCCCAAGGCCTTGTAGACGGCCACTCGCCCACTGCCCTCCTTCGACTGCCCGTCCCGCTTGTCTTTGGCATACATGTTCTTCTCCGAGAAGTTACAGCCCGTGAAGTCAAAGTGAGGCGAGTTCAAGGAGATGAGTTTGGGGAACAGCATGTTCTCCACCTGCGACGCACAGAGAGGAAGATGGGTGACTTTGCGGGGAGCTCATGGCTGTTTGTCCTGCTCCAGCACTACCAGTGCCCAGCTCTGGGATGCACCGGGGTGTGGGCTGGACCTGCTCTGCCCAATTCCAGCATCTCACACACCTGGGGGACGCAGCCCACCCCTGCCTGCCCCCTGCCCATCTCCAGCAGGGAGAGGTAGCAGCTGGGCCCTCCCAGAGGCAGACAGCAGGGAGCCCAGCAGCAGAGATCTCCCTCACCCTCTCACCCCTTCGGAGAAGAGGGGCAGCTCTTCTGTCCTGCCCACCCCAGCTCCCAGACCCGCTGACGCTGCCCCTGGGAGGGGAGAGGGGAGGAGAGCAAGCCCCACGGAGCACTGAAGGCAGGGGGGACAGCCAGCCCAGCGCCCTCTCCTCGGTGTGATGGGGACCTCTGACTCCCTCTCCTAGCAGCGGGAGGGAGCCTTTGGGACCCCGGGGAGGGGGCAGAGTGGCGAGGGGGTCCCAGCCTGCTCCAGCACCTCTGTACTCCTACCCCCTGCCCTCACCTGATCGTTCTCGTCACTGAAACTGTTGCCGTACATGAAGCAGCCACGCTTGGAGGCATGCCCGTGGAGATCGACATAATATGCCAGCCCACTGTCCTGAGGCAGGATGGTTTCGGGGAGAGGTGTTGGCGGAGGCCTCCTGGCTTCCTCCTCACAGTGCTCTGCGGCATGGCTTGAAGGGAGGATCCAGACAGCTCGGTCCTTGCCACCCAGCTCGGTGGCTGGCGCTCCCCGGAGCCGGGGTTCCTGAGAAGGGGTGAAGTACGTGCTGGCACGCCAGGTGCTGGGTGAGTTGCGGAGGTTATTGGCTTTCTCCAGCTCCGAGAGGACCGCTTCTGGGGATGGGGCACTGCCACGGATGGAATGGTTGGAAGATTTTGTGCTTAGCGAGCTGGTGCCGAGCGGGGAGACGTACGTCCTCCAGTCAGGAGAGCCTGGCAGGACGCGGCTGTGAACGTGGTGGTAGAGGAGGACAGCTTTGGCCCCGTACACTGCAGGGTGCAGCTCGGCATCGGGGTTGAGATACTTGCGGTTGAGGTTTACCCCACGGGAGTCCGTTCTGCAGGGAGAGCAGAGGAGATGTGAGGTCCTTTGTGCTGCTCCCTCTGCTCTGCAAAGGCAGACCCGACCTTACCTCGTAACGGCCGAGGCTTCGGGCTCTGTCCTGGAGTATGGTTGGCCCCCGCGGTCAAGCGGGCAGAGGCTCTGCCCCAAAGCAGCCGAGAACCTCTCTTGGGGAGTGGCACTTGCCTCAGCGAGACAAAGCCCCGAGTGATCACCCTCCCTCCTCCCTGAAGCTGGCTCCCCTCCCACACGCCAGGGAGAACGTGGACAGGACAGTGTCCGAGTGCCTCAAAGGCACAGGACAGCGCCGCTTGCCCGAGCGAGAAAGACCTGACCTGGGAGACATTGCAGTCAACAGCAGCCCCAGGCCCTCGCCAGAGATCCCGGGGTGTAGCAGGGAGCGGTCGCTGCAGCCCACGGGCCTCGGCTCATTCTGCTGACGCAGGACCTTGGGGCTATTCTTTCCAGCCACCACAAAACGCACGGCAGGCTCCAAACCAGGAGGGAACGGCCCATCTTGGACCTCTATGAAGCTGCAGCCGCAACCTACGCTCACTCACCGATAGTGGCCTCGCACCACCCCGTCGGGGTTCAGCATGGGAATGAGCTTAAAGACGAACATCCGCCGCAGCATCTGGGCACGGGGGTCCTCCTCCCGCAGGATGAAGTCCAGGAAGCCGTTGAAGACGAAGCTGGAGGGTGTTTCTCCTGGGTGGACTCTGCTGCTCAGGAAAAACACCTGGGGGCAAATAGATAGGGGCAATGGGCAGGTTCCTGCCTGCCCTGAGATGCCGCAATGGCTTAGCCGAGGGTCCAAAGGCTCCCTGGGGCTCCCCATGCACCGTAGCCAGGCACCGCGCTGCCCGAGAAGGAGCTAAGGCCTTCAGGTGGAACAGACAACTAGGTGCTGGGTGCGGTAACATGACGGTTTTCGGTGGCTTCTTTGCCCAGTGCCTCTCCTAGGTCTTGCTTGGAACAAGGTTGCTTATAGAACCATAGTTCCGTCTGATTCCAACCCCCCTGCCACGGGCAGGGACCCCTCCCACCAGACCAGGTTGCTCACAGCCCCATCCAACCTGGCCTTCAACACTTCCAGGGATGGGGCAGCCACAGCTTCTCTGGGCAACCTCTGCCACTGCCTCACCACCCTCACCAGGAAGAATTTCTTCCTGATATCTCATCTAAATCTTCCCTCTTCTAGTTTAAAGCCATTATCCCTGTGTGAGACTAAAGGGACAGCAGCCCCGCAGCCTGCGACCAAGAGGAACCAGAGTTTGGTGGCAGAGAAGCAGAGCCTTAGAAGCGCTCCAGGGAAAAGCCCCGAGCGATCCCGCAGAGCCGGAAACGAGCCTGACTGCAATGATGACCCAAAGCGTCCCCTGAAGATCCCAGCCCTCCAGGACATGATGCCTTTCAAGTGAGAGATGCGAGGGCGGCAGCGAGGCCCCGACACACGGACCATCGCATGGTCTGTTGGCCGTGCTCGCCGTCCCCGATGCAGGTGCAGCAACTCACCCTCTTCCCTGCGAAGCGGTGCGGCCGGGGAGTGGCGGTGTCTGGGAAAAGTTTGTCCAGCCGGGGCTCTCGCTTCTCCAGCATGCCGTGGCACGAGGTGACGGTGAGCAGGTCCACTCGCAGCTTGTCCAGGGAGTGGCAGAGCAGCTCCCGGTGGTAGTAGACAGAGTCGAGGGGACTGTGGGGTGAGGAGAGATGCTCAGCCCGCCTGACCCTCTCAGCCGGTAAACCGTGGGCCCGAGCCTCCCCCTC